TTTACTCAGCAGTAAAGCAAGAAGAAATAATGAAATTTGCAGGTAAATGGATGGACCTAGAAACTGTTATACTAACTTTAGTAACACGGGCTCAGGAAAAAAAGTAAAAACCACATAGGTTTTCCCTCATATGTAGATCCTAGCACCAAATCCTGATAAATGATTATGTATCCAGACATAACTACAGGAACCAGGATAATGATAAGGAACCAGGGAGGTAAAGGAAAAGAAAGAACCTGAAAGAGAAGAACAGTAGGAAACAGGCCTTAATAAGGAGATATGGATAAAAATTGGGTTAGTTTAGGGAGGGAGGGGAGGGAAGGGTATACAAGGAACCTAGGGGATAACAGGAAAGAAGGAGCTCAAAAGAGGTGGGACCATAGGAGAAGGGTGTTATTAAGGGAGAAATGGAATAAACAGGGGCACCTTAAATGGGGAAACTATGGTGGAAGGGTTAGATAATCTGAGAGATAAACAATGCCCAGCTAGTTATAGAAAACCAGAAGGAACCATATTATGCCAACAACCTACTGACAAATTATGTGTACAACTAGATCAAAGAATGTAATATATGCCTAGGCAAGGATTATCTGAAAGCATTTGATCTTAGCCCAAGACCTATCTACATGGAATATAGTAAGTAAAAGTACCAGAGTGGTGGAACTAACCTTGGATGTTTAACATCTATACTTTGAGGCCTACACTAATTTGGTCAGGGGGACATAAAGGACAGTTTTTGCTCCTTGCCCTCCTAGGTTGACTAAGTTCCAGGGGACTATAAGCATCTTTCAAAATGTCCTGTAACTGTGGTGAGTCACCTGTCCTCTTAAGCAAGGAGGCTGTAGACACCCCACTAGATGGGCCTGAACCAGTGTCCAGTGCACAAAGAGGTGGGTCAACAAAGAGGAACTATTTCTTCCATGTTTCCAAGTGAAGCCAGCCATCGTAGAGCAGGACCTTTGACTTATCTTCACATAGATGGAACTGGTAAAAGAAAGGAGCCAGGGACTCTTCCCAAGCATATGTTTCCCTTGAGGAACAGATCCTCAAATGACCATAAGAGTAAAAATAAATTGTTTTATCTGGGCCAACTGTAGGGTCTTCTAAGTATGTGGTTATTAAATAAATAATTTAAAAAAAAAAGAAAGGTGTCATAAACTCCCCTAAGGGTATCACCAACTGGAGACCGACCACTCAAATACTGGAGCTTATGAGGGAACATTTTTCATTTAAAACACTAATGTTTTATGTCACCTATATTTCAGTCAAGCTCATTAAATCTAAAGTCAAAATGTGTGGTGGCTATTCATCAACTATGTTGTATTATATAATGTGATCTGGACATTATTCATTTCTTCTGGATCAGTAGGAAATTAGTTATTTTCTGCTCTGGAGCCAGTAGTCTGCATGTTTTTCTTGAGCCTAAAACATCCCTCTGACACATGATTTGACACTTCGTACTGAAAATATTTTATCCCCTATCCAAATGCTTGAATTCAAGAATAGATTAAACTTGCTTCAAGCCTTTCTGGGTCGTCAATGGAATCTAAGAATGAGACTGCAAAGACAGCTCAGTGACTTGCTTCCTATGTAAGTAGGACAAGTTGAGCTCCATTCCCAGAAGCCTTTTAAAAATGGTGTGCTGCACCATGGTTATAAACTCAGTTCTGGGGAGGTGGACACTGACAGATTCCTGAGGCTTGCTGGCCAGCCATCCAAGCCTAATCAACAAGCTCTAAACTGGTTAGAAACCCTCCCTCAAGATGAACAGCTCCTAGGGAAAGGTAACTGAGGTCAATTTCTGGCCTCTACATGTATGTACATGTGTGTGCAGTGTACTTTGGTCCACATACACCTATGGACTCACACCAGCACAAAAGTATATATATACAAAAATAAAATAAATAAAAAGACAATGTTATCACATTTATGTTATGATAAACTACAGAAAAAGAAAAACCTCAAGGATAGCATTTTAAAATATTTCTTTAGAAACCTAAGGATGATATTAGCTATCGTACAGATTATTGAACAATTAGTGAAATTTATGCACAATATATTTAAATGAATATCAAAAATGCTAAATGAAACAGTTGCATGATTAATGAATAAGGACTATGTTACACATATATTGCTTTTTTATGTGTATGAGTGTATTGCCTGCATGTGTCTAAGTGTACCTGTGTCATGCAGTGTCTGCGGAGTTCAGAAGAAGGTGTTGGATCTCCTGGAACTGAGGTTATGGATAATTGGTAGCCAACATATGGGTGCTGGCAATTGAACCCAGGTTCTCGTTAATAGCAGTCAGTGCTCTTAACTACTGAGTCATCTCTCCAGCCCCTCCTATATTGCTTCTTATACACCTGATTTTAGGGGAAAATGAAAATTCTTAGTTATCATGGAAGTACTCTCCAGTACTGAAGATGTAGCAGTGACCCTAAAGAATAAAGTGCAGGGTACAAACTGGCAGAACAAACTTTGCTAGGCTAGTCATACTGCAGAGGACCCAGGTTTGGTTTCCAGCACCCACATGGCAGCTAACAACCATCTGTAATCCCAGTTATAGGGGATTCTATGACATCTTTTGACCTCTGTGGGTATTGCATGAGTGCACTTATATACACATTGGCAAGACACTCATAAACATAAAAATAAATAAATAAAATAATGAATAAATAAATTAATTCATACTATGGAATACTATAGATTGAGAGCTAATAAAATGTTTTTTCACAAGAATACTCTTTTTCCTAGCAATTTTTTCAAGGCAATATTAACATCCTTATTCCTCAGGCTATAGATAAGTGGATTGAGCATGGGCACAACAATAGTATAAAACACAGAAGATACTTTCCCCTCATCCATGGAGCTGAAAGATGATGGATTCAGGTACATAAATGCAGCAGAACCGAAGAAGACAGCAACAGCTGATATGTGTGAGCTGCAGGTGCTGAAGGCTTTGGCCCTGCCCTCAGTGGATTTGATGCGGAGGATGCTAGCAATAATGAGTATGTAAGAGCTAAATATACTCAGAGTTGGCGCAATGATATTAATTCCACTAAAGATTAGAATCATCATCTTATTGACAAAAATACTAGAACAGGAGAGTTTTAGCATAGAAAGAAGGTCACAGAAATAGTGATTGATCACGTCAAGTCTGCAGAAATGAACCCTAAACATACATCCTACATGAGCTGATGCACAGACTACTCCTATAATATACACCCCTAAAATAAGAGAAAAACAGGCCTGGTGAGACATGATTATACTATAAAGCAAGGGACTGCAGATGGCCACGTAGCGATCATAGGCCATTGCCGCCAGCATGTAACATTCTGAGATAGCAAAAAGGAGAAAGCAGTAAAGCTGAGTCATGCACTCAGGATATGACGTCACATTCTTCTCCATCACGAAGTTCCCCAGCATTTTAGGAATAAGGACAGTGGACTGGCAGAGGTCAGTGAAGGACAGACTGCTGAGAAGGAAGTACATGGGGGTGTGCAGGTGGGAGCTGAGCAGGATCAGGATGATCATGCCCAGGTTCCCCAGCACTGTGAGCATGTAGATCCCGAGGAAGAGCAGGAAGAGGGGCAGCTGCAGCTCTGGTTTGTCTGTCAACCCAGCGAGGACGAACTCAGTCACTGTAGAAAGATTTCCTTCTTTCATGTTCTCTGCTCGGAGTCTGAAAGAGGAAGAGAAAATCAGTCTTTTGAGAGAAGTGATTGCTCGCCTCTTTTAGGAAGAAGGTGCCCCCTTAATTTCTACATGATCACTTCACTCTTTGTCCATTTCTTTCTGTAGAATGTGTCTCATTTTAATATGTAGTGAGCTTTATTTTTTAAATTAATGATATGTTATTTAAAACCTTTTACATATGTCTTTAGTATTGAAAACTTTAATAGTTTCTATTTACTATTTGGAATATGCCAATCATTTAAATTTAAAAATTTTAAGTTGAGATTTGTAA